GTTTGTTTCTGCTTTTGGAAATTGTTACATAATTCTAGTCGTTGATTACGTCTCAAAATGGGTAAAAAGCTAAAACTACTCACAATAATGAATACTAGAACTACTACTAAATTTCTAAAGAATTCTATTTTCTCGAGGTTTGAAACTCCAATGGTGATAATTAGTGATTGAGGAACACATTTTATCAATCAAATCATTAAGACATTAATGAAGAAATATGGAGTCACTCAACTAATCATCACGGCTTATCATCCTCAAACTAATGGACAAGCAAAAGTTTCAAATCAATAAATTAAATCAATTATAGAGAAGATTGTAAAGCCGAATATAAAATATTGGAGTTTGAAACTTAACGATGTCTTATGAGCATATCGCACTGCTTACAAAGCTCCCATTGGCATGTCTCCGTATCACCTAATCTATGGTAAACTATATCACTTACCTGTTGAATTTGAACATAAAGCATACTGAGCGATTAAAGAATGCAATATGAAGATGGATACGATTGGTGAGCAAGAAAATTTCACATTCAAGAACTTGAAGAAATCTGTCGCAATGCTTATGACAGTGCTCAGATTTATAAGGATGAAACTAAAGATTTTCATGATCGTTGAATTTCATTTAAAACTTTTAATATTGGTCAGAAAGTTCTGTTATTTAATTATAAATTGAAAATATTTGCAAGAAAATTACAAACGAAGTGGTGAGGACCTTTTATCGTGACTCAAGTTTTTCCCATGGCGCATTTGAAATTCAGTATGATTCGGAAGCTTATTTCAAAGTAAATGGTCAATGATTAAAGCCATACTACGAGAATAATCAAGTATGTGCGATCGAGGAGATTATTTTTAAAAGAACCTGTAGTCTGAACCATGTCATCGAGCTAAACGACGTTAAATAAAGTGCTTAATTGGAGCCAACCCATTCTATTTAATTTTATTTTCATTTTTTTTATTTAAATCTATTTTCAATTTTATTCAATTCATTTCATACTTATTTATTTTTGTTTGAATTTTTTAGGTCTTCTGAACACTTTGATCAAGCCAAATTTGAAGAAATCTGGTATTTTTTATCTTATCTCGCGTGAAGAATCAAGCAATATAACGCACGTTGGCAATCCAACACATGTAAATAAAACCCTATTCAAACCAAAGACCCCCTTTACTGCCCCCAATCCAAAGTTTCCACAAATTCTACTACCTTTTTATCTAAAAACAATCCAATTCTTTTTAAACTTCTTTAATTTTTTCTCAAACTCCTGAACCAACTAAACTACTCAATCCTATTTTTATTAAAATTCATTCTTTATATTTTTTATTCTCCTTAAACCAGTAAAACTTCTACTTGATTCTAAACTATTTTTCTTCCCTTATATTTAAACCCTTTCTTTTCTTTTTCTTTTTAATCCCACAAATTACAAAACCCTTCCTTATTTTCTTTAAAATCTTTAAACTACATCATCTTATTTTATTCTTCACGCTAACAACCACCGTTGATCACGCCACACCGTTGTCACTCCTCATCGCTTATACATCATCAGTTAGTATTCCATCACCTATCTTTTTTTTATCTTAATTATTTACTGCAAAATTTCAAGATGTTGAAAACAAGAATTCAAAGACGATAATAATCCGTCGCTCCGAAATTTAATCATGAACTGAGTGATTCTGATTCAATTCGCACGCCTCTACCACTCCTTTCTTGACATAACCAAAGACGATAACAAACATTACATTCCATTCATTCTTCTCGGCCACACAATGATGTCGATCCTTCACATTCGCGAGAGCATCAACCCTCACCAACCTCGTCCTCATCGTCACATTATCATAACTTACCGGACAAAGAGAAATTTCAAGGGTACTTGCAATTAAAAGACAGAACAAATTCGATTCAACGATTTTTGGCTTTGAAACTTTCAAGTTTGTAAGTACATTCCTACTCATACTTTAGATACTTTTCATCTGAGGGATTCCATTACACATTACTTCAATGCTATTAGGTGGACTTTATATCCTAAAATTAAATGTGGAAAATACTTTGAATTGGTTATTGAATTTTATACCCCATTTAACTTTTTGCAGCATCGAGTTGTTAGTGTGAATTCCCAAGATGTTATCACTTTTCGTTTGTTAGGACAATACTTTAGGATGTCAATCTCTGAATTTAATTTTTCCATGGGGTTCATTACAAATGTCACGGACCAAAGCTATTTAACATCTTTTCTTGAGATTCCCCAGGATTTTGACACCGAGTACGCCTATTATACACTTATTGGTTCGACAAGTCAGATCTTTAATGCATATATGGCGAAGGGATGACACCCTATGACCTCGTGCTTCGATACATTCACTGGTTTCTTAAATACAACTATTTGGGGTGTAACACACTAAATCTTTCTTGAGCAAAGTTGAATTGTTTTTCCTATAATGCATGCTTATCGGCATCAAAGTTAATCTAGGATTTTGGTTTGCACGAGCTTTTGAGTGCGTTGTGCACTCTAATCATCCACTGATTCTCGTCCCTTACATCACTCATCTCGTATCTAGACTTTTCCCATTATATTTTAATGTTGACCAATTTACCTATGCTTTTTCTATGGATGGTTTATATATGTGATGCTTAGACACGATGAGATTACTTGTCGGTACACCCGATACACATTAAATTAATGAGGTGCATGATCGTCTCAACTCAATCGAGTATAATCTTACCGAGATTTTGTCCTACCTCTGCCCTGGTGGCGATTTTCCCAATATCACCGTTGAATAGTATATTTCCCGATCAGGCACCGTTCAGACTATATTTCCCGATCTAACACCCTTTGCAGAAAGACGTAGCCCCTGCAACGCGTTTTACGCTGATTTGGTGCCACGTAAGGTAAGGCGCCCCTTGGGTATAATTACCAACCTACCCCGACGTTTCACACCCCAATCCCTCCCTATAAATACCCCCATCCTCAATCATTTTCATCACACCAAATTCTCTCAACTTCTCTCAACTTCTCTCAAATACTCTTATAATCTATGTCTAAGGTATATTTTATTATATTTTTAATATTTTGTATTTAATTTATTTAAGTATTTAATTTATTTAATTAATTGTTTTGCAGATATAAAATGGAAGACGGTCTACTTCGCTTGGATGGAAATCATATATCTCGAGACTTTGCTGATACGGTAACATTTTAACATTTTTGTTGATTTATTTAATGCATGATTATTAGATTAAGAATTAATTTTTGTAATTATTTAATTTTAGGAGAAGGACCGTGTATTAGATCCATTTATTAGGAATCTTAAGTTAGTGATACCTAGTCGTGTCTTGCCGTATTTAGTAGAGGCTGGATTTGGTTACATAGGTAGATATCAGGGTCACTGTAAGATAGAACAACACCTTATTTCTGCCTTAGTAGAGCAGTGGAGGCCGGAGACCCACACATTCCATCTTCCGTGCGGAGAGTGCACGATTACACTTGATGATGTTGCTATGCACCTGGGGCTTCCGGTGGATGGAGATGTGATATCGGGGATCGCGCAGGGTTCCTGGACTGCTTTGTGTCAAGATAATCTAGGACGTGTCCCGAAAAGTTTTAACTGTGGTCGGATACCGTTAAATTGGTTAGATGCCAATTTTTGGGATTTGAGCGAGGACGCGTCAGATGATGAAGTTAAAATGTATGCACGGGCATACATACTGCAGCTGATAGGAGGGTTGTTGATGCCGAACAAATCGCGTAACCAAGTTCACTATATGTGGTTGCGACATCTTCTCGACTTTCGTCTGGCCGGATCACTCAGTTGGGGCTCGACAGTTTTGGCTTTATTGTATAGGGATATGTGTCGAGCCACTGACTACAGGAGAAATGCTATCGATGGATGTCTCCTGCTACTGCAGTCTTGGGCATGGTATCGATTGCCCTTTTTATGTCCCATTGTGAAGAACACATTCATATTTCAGCTACTCTTGAGGTACTTATAAAATTGATTTCGTATATTAATCATTTTATATAGCGTATAATAAAAAAAATCTTGAATAGGTGGTCTACTGATAGGAAAAATCATCAGGAGCTACCTAATGATTTAGAAAAAAATTAGGGTGCTCATCGATCAGAAGGCTAGCACACAAGTATGAATTTAAATGTTTAAAAATCGATTTTAGATTATAGTTATATAATTAGATTATTATTTTGATAAAAATTATATATATTTATTTTAGTTTGAATGGGTGCCATATTCTAATGATGATGTGTGGGCGGTGATCACACTTGAGCTAAGGGGCCCATCAAATGTTTGGATGGCGATGGTCCCTTTGATAGGTTATGCGACCGTCGAGTGACACTTCACTTATATACCACAGCCATATATGATGTTGTCATCGCCTTTCCATTACCAGATGTCGCCGCCGCCGCTTTCACCTGGTTTTATGACCCCGCCGCCGCCACCTTCACAGAGTTTTATGACCCTTCTTAGAGGCTATTATGGGTCTATGTTTGTAGATCTGACTTGGGGTTCATATGATGAATATTTGGTAGGTTCAACCTCATCACCCATGGCCGCATCACAGACACCTCCTGTACAGTTTTCACACTCAGCGATGTCTAAGTTTTATGTGTTTTCCCAGTTTTCGCAGGCCGGTGGGATAGTCAGTCATTCACCTCCAGTGCCCTTATTCTATGGAGGTGCTTCATCGTCATCAGCTCATCTTCTACAAAATTTAGTTGCTCAGGACGACGACGACGACGACGACGATGGTGATGATGATGACAGCGAGGAGTCACAATCAGTGATACGAAGAAATCCTCCTCGAGACCGACAGCCACCGCCCTGCGGAACACATTCGCGTCGCAGGCATCGATAGATTTTGTTTTTTTATTATATTTGTATTCAGTACTTTTTATTGTAGATGTTTATTGGACTTTTTATTGTAATTTTTTTATTATTTATCATTTAATACTTACTTTAATTCGTTAATATGGTTGGATTTATTTTAATTTATTTTGATAAATTTGTTGGACTTTTTGTTAATTTATTTTGCTTAATTTTGTTCATTACCATTTAATATTAGTTATTATAATTTGGTTATCATTTACCATTTAATACTTATTGTATCGTTAATATCAGTTATTTGTTAATATAACGCCAACGTCCAATCTTGTATAATTGTATCGTTTTTTTAATCTTCATCAGCGGTTATCGAATAACATTAACTTTAAGTAAATGCAAATTAAAGTACAATAATTATTAATTGATAAACAACTACATCATTTCCTCATCAATTGTTACTTGATGACAACAGAAGTGGACATGTTTTTCTAGTGTGTCCTGGGTTTCTACAATGCCCACATGTTCTTTCTTATCTAGATCTTTCTCGAATATCCATATCGCAATGAATTCGATTGGATTTTGGACGACCACGCTCCCTCAATAAACTCGGATTTGGTACAATCGAAAGTCAATCTTGAACAAAAATAATGTTGATTAAATAAATAATATATGAACGAAAAATATAACACAATAAAAGTTTTACACAAACGTAAATAATTTAAATAATATAATTTTATATTATTACCTGTACCGCAAAACTATTTCAACGTATATTCCCGCTTTCTAATTTTACAAACACATAAATTAATTGACAACAATTAGTATAATATTTTTTTCAAATAATCATAATAAACAATAAGTATAATAAAAATATTAATCACAAAATTACCTTATAATGAAAACTCGCACGAACTTCTGAATTGGAAAGGGTATTTATAGCCGGGAAAAGCTACAAGACGCGGTACCTGCACCGCGCCTTACATAATTATATCAGATAAAGCTAAGGCGCGACCCCTATTCCGCGCCTAATAATTGTGTTAAAGGTAAGGCGCAGCCCCTGCCCTGTGCTATACTCCTAGGTGGCCTAAGGCACACCCCCGGGGCCGCGCTTTACACACGTGTATACCATGTCAACATAAGGCGAGCTGCAGGGGGCGCCTTACCCCACGTGGCGCTAAATCAACGTAAAGCACGTTGCAGGGGCCGTGCCTTTCTGCAAAAGGTGTTAGATTGGGAAATATAGTCTGAACGGTGCCTGATCGGGAAATATACTGTTCAACGGTGATATATCGGGAAAATCGCCCTGCCCTGGTACCTCTCGTCACGGTCGCAAATGTCACTAAACACGAGGAGTGTCTCTATTCCTTCTCCTATGCTTTAATTTTACATATTGTGACAATATGTTTTAAGTGAGGGTAGAGAACCTAGATAACACTTACATTGAATTATAGATAACTTATTTACATGCTTGAAATTGAGTTGTCTTGGTTGATTTATTGAAATCTCTTGTTATTAATCTTGAATCTAGCTTTGTTCCATTGATTACCTTATGAGTTTGTAATCAAGCGTTTATTGGATTTAGGTTGCATGATTGTAAAAACATCATGATTATTATTTTTTTCTTAAATTTTTTTGCTTGATATTCCATGAATCCATTGGTTGATATGTTTCTTGACTCGATACACAATACACTTTCTTGTGAGATTTGAGCCTAAACGAGCATACTTTTTCATTCTTTCTCATTTGTTTGATTGAGTGCACCAGATTAATTTTGATATTCTATATCTTGTGATTAAATGCATCTTGTTCATTCTAGTGGTGGAGATTTGATTTTCTTACAAGCCTATGGTAATGTGTTTATTAATGTTGGCTTTGAGCGATTTCTTTAACCCGAAACACTTTGAGAGATAATAAGTGAATCCTTGTGAGGTATTATGTCTTATTACATTGAAATTGATGAATAATTAGGATATATTGGCTTTTGATTAAACTTGTTTATAGTTGTGCCTATTTGCTTAATTGTAACCTTGCTTCCGGTAATCGATGTGATCATTGACTCGTTTGGTTTTTCTTGGTATATTGTGAGATGAAAGATTGGTAATTTGAGATTTTAATAATTGATTAAGGAATGCATGAGGACAAACATTGAATAAGTGGGGAGAAATTTGATGAGTATTTTATTTTGTTAATATTTTGTTATTAATTAATCTGTTACCTCTTTAATAGTGCTAATTTGGGTTATTCATTTTCAAATCTGAGCAGGACTCTATTTTCTAGGAAACAACAATTAAAAGGTAAATTAAGCAGATTTTTTCTATTTTATGAAATCAAATTGGCGCCAACTTCAATAAAATAATCCAGTCGGCAAGATCAAAGGAAGAAAGTTGGATGAACACAATTCTTTAGGAATTAAAAGTTGTAATTAAATTCAACCATTTGAGATTTTATTATTTAATTAACTAGGATTCTAGTTTGCTTAGGATTTTAAGTATGATTTTATTTTTTTTCTTAATTAAGACTTTAGCTTACTATTAATTAAGAATTAAGTGTTTTAATGTTCTTAAGAGTTAATATTTTACTTTCTTTAACTATAAATACCCATTAGAGTGAAGTTTGACAGTTGTACTCTTTCTTGGCTTTAATTAGCGTTGAGATTTTTATAAAGATTATTTTTCTTCTTTATCTTTTTTATTTTATTTTTTCTTCCACATGCTAAGTATGATTTTCATCATGCTTAGCTAAACTTCTATTTAGCTGATAGTTGAGCGACGACTCCGTTTCATGAGAATTGAAAGAGTACATCATACATTCATATTTCTTTCTTGATTTTTGGCAATCAAGAATTGGCAATCGACCTTTCATTTAAACATCTCAACACTTTCAACCCAAAGAGTGTGTGTTGGTTTGATCGACGTTTTGATCTACCGTTGGGGAGGAGAGTTGGTTTGTAGAAAATTCAATTCCCTAATAACAAACTTAGCGACGATCCGCTAAGGGAAATCAAGATTAGGTTCGATCCTCATCGAGACACCATAATCAGAGCACGGATTTTTCCAGTACTAAAGAAAAATTGGCATTAACATCGATAGTCATTGTTAATCCAAATAAGGATTAAATTTCAAGGATTGGATTTGGAAATTAGTTCACCAGAGAGAAGAGTACGTTACAAGGGTTGGGCCTTGTAGACTGTAATCGGAAAATATCTAAAGTAAAACCCATTTCTATGATCGATACGAATTGAGGTGAAGCAAAGCTAGAGGCTATCTCTCATCATAATTAATCTTTCTACAATTTACTTTTCTTGCTTTAATTACTTTAAGTTTATTAAATTTATTTAATTGTTCTAAACCCCCTGTTCTTATTTTCAGTTCTTCATGATCAAGAATAAATTAATTTAAAATTAGAAATTTATGAATCCCTGTGGACCGATCTCTTCTTTCCTGTTTTGTATTTATAGCTTATTTATTTGAGAAAAATGACTTATTTATTAGAAAATTACGACACCTGTCACCAGTGACCTCCACTTCCAGGTTTGCATTATATTTCTAACCATATCTCCTATTCTCACTTACCTTCTTCAACTCAATCTTTTATTAATGCAAATTCTTTGCTTATTAAACCAACTACTTACAAAGATGCTTGTAAATTTTCACATTGGGTTACTGCTATGAAGGAGGAAATCTGGGCTCTTGAGCTAAACAATACGTGGTCTATTGTCTCTTTGCCACATGGAAAGGTGCCCATTGGTTGTAAATGGGTTTACAAGGAGAAAATTTTCACCTTGGCAACCATGTTTGATTGGCCTTTATGGCAGATAGACGTCTTTAATGCCTTTTTTCAGGGGATTTATGCGAAGTATACATGCAACTTTCATAGGGCTTTTGTAGCCGGGGGAGAGCATGGTGTGCAGACTACAAAAGTTCTTGTATGGGCTTAAACAAGTTTCTAGGTAGTGGAATTTAATACTAACAGAGACTTTGTTGGCTGCAGACTATCATCATAGAAAGCATGACTATTCAATGTTTACCAAGCAGAAAAGGGGAAGGATAGTGATAATACTAGTATATGTAGACGATCTGCTCATAACAAGGGGTGATAGTGAGATTATTGTTGAACTCAAATAGATCTTGCATTAAAATTTCAAAATGAAAGATCTAGGGGAGATGAAGTATTTTCTGTGCCTAGAAATATTGAGATCCAAGGAGGGAATAGTAGTTAACCAAAGGAATTATGTCCTTGAATTGATTAAGGACACTAGTTTGAGGGTGCTAGGGTAGCATCAACACCCTTAGAACAGAATGCTAGGTTAACTTCAGTCTAGTTTGACTTGACTAAGAAGACAAGACTACTTTTCAAAAGTTGGTGGGAAGACTTATACACTTGACGCATACAAGGCCAGATATAGCTTACTCTATTCAATGTTTAAGCCATTTTATGCACCAACCTAAGAAGACACATATGGAAAGGGCATTGCAAGTGGTGAGGTATTTGAAGAAAAATCTAGGCCAAGGGATTTTGTTTCTTGCTTTGAATGAATGTAAACTGCATGCCTATAGTGATTCAGATTGGGCAATATGTCCCATGTCAAGGAAGTCAGTTACAAGGTTTTGTGTCAAGCTTGGACAGTCGGTCTCTTCGAAGGCGAAGAAGTAGAGAACAGTGACAAGGTCGTCTGATGAAGCAGAGTATAGAAGCCTAGCAGTGACTACAGCAGAGATAGTTTGGATACATGGTTTACTCACTGAACTGGGCGTAGAATTGGCACAACCTACTACAGTTTTCTGTGACAGTAAAGTAGCGTTGCAAATAGCTGCTAATCCTGTGTTCCATGAGCGCACTAAACATATTGAAATTTATTTACACTTTGTGAGAGAGAAGATACAAGGTGAACTTATAAAAACAAAATATATGCCCACAAGAGAACAACAGGAGACATATCTATCAGACAGCTTGGAGTTGTACAGTACAATCACTTGTTGTCCAAGTTAGGGGTGAAAGATGTCTTTCACCCTCTAACTTGAGGGGGAGTGTTAGTTCTAGAAAGCAGTTAGTTAGTTTCATTTCTATTAGATTTGTTGAGCACTTAGGATCGTTACATGACTTGTATTTAAAACATTGTATTGTGTAAATTAATGATTAGCTGTTTTTTCCATCTTTGCTGCCCTTTATTCACTTAACAGAGATATTCAACATTAGTTTTGCATATCTTTCTTGTGCAAGTTTCTCTAGTAATCTTCGTCATGATATTGTGAATCGGACTAGTTGCTAAGACAACACAGATAGAGACTGAGAAAACACAGACAGAGGGTGAAGTTCGAAAGCTTATGGAAGAGAATGTAAGGTTGACTGCACGTCTTCACAAGAAAGAAGCTCAGCATTTGTCCATGAATGAACAATGCAAAGAAATGACCCAAAGTTCTTCAAATATATGATCTGATCTCGCTCTACTGCCTGTCGATCAGACTGTGGCTCCCAGTTTCTTAGTGCCGACAGACTAGATCACCAGCCAGATGAACATAGGGTAGGATGGTACAAGTAATGCTGTATACGAGTATATGTTACCAATACTCTCTTGAAAGTGTAGCACATTGTAGAGAGTACAGAACTTGAATTACTGACATTGCCATGCTTCCGAAAATTGAACCAGTTTGTGTAAAATGCATCTTGTTGTGCTATCAGTAGTACACAGATTTGGTGTTCTGATGTTGAAATTTAAATTGCCAATCTTTTCTGTACAGGCAAGAAATTACATTGCTGTTTTGACGCAGAAGCACAATGAATATATGTGTTCTGTTTTAGGCTGGAACTGGATGACAAACAGTGTTTTCTACACTTGTAGAGAAGGATGACTTGGATGAAAAGAAAAATGATGTGGGAATTGAAAGGCCTTTAGAATTTGGATGAGCTTGACCAACTAGGAAGCTAAGCTGAAACAAATGATGCTAATCAAGGCCATCATATTTGAATAATGTATTTTCTATTATTGTGGTTTTAAAAGTTCATATATGGCACAACCACATGGGCAGTCGAACGAATGTCTGAGAATTATATATGAATGTCTGGTATAACCAAAGTACATAAATATTGACTCGCCAAGTGCCAACTAAACTTACCTTGTGAGACAGCTAGCTAATTTGTTGATAATACTTTCGTCTAGTTGGTGAAATATAGGGCCGAAAACAGTGATGGATACACGTACCCAGGGGTTCGTCTTAAAATTCGAATTTTCTTCGATTAATTATTTATTTTATTGAATGTGTTCACCCTAAAATTTTATTTGTGCCCACTGCCCACCCATTAAAAAAATGTGTTACTAACATAGATGTTTCGACCCTAAAAAATATTTCTAAATCTCTGTCAATGACTAAAAACAAAGCCAAAACTTTATATAATGTATCGTGTGTGACATGAAGTGAATCCATGAAGAGAACCTATTGAGCATGCTTCTCCTTCCACTTCCGTTAGAAAGGGTCGAGGGGCATTGGGATGTGCTCGCACCTTTAGAAACTGTATAATATAATTTAGATGTTTTTTATTGATGATTTAATTTCACATCTTTAAATTTCTAATATAACTTCTTAAATTCGCATTGTTTGACATATAATCTTACATCCGTAGCTTTCTTCCATCACACTCTCATTACGTGGGTCTAAGCGTTGTTTTTTTTTTTCTGGAAGCCTTCAATTGATAGTTAGCAATAAAGAGAGGAACGCCAAGCAGAGTCCCGCCAAGCTAAACGATGAAGATGCCAAATTTTGGGTTAAGTGCGACAAGTGGTCGCTTTGTGCTGTGCATGTGGTCCATAAACAACCGAAATATCCACTTCCTTTGTGTTTTGACCAACATCTATTATGAAGAAAGGACCAAATTATGGGGAAACTGGGTGACGCTGGGACAAGCATTCAATGGCCTTATGGATTATGCTCCCATTTGCATTAATCATCATTTAGTTGACTCCTTCACGTACATTACCATGACGCACGAATAGCGATAGTAGTATGAAACCAGCTAACCAATTTAGGACCTTTGATCTATGTTCGTTAAGATATTCATATTGCAGGGGAAGATGCGGTATTGAATTATTATTTAAGATGTTGTGTCCGTATAAAACGAGTAACGATAATTTAATAACCGAACTTGTCTGCATTTCTATATGAAGGTTAAGCCAATTGTGGGAAAGTTTGAGAAGTTAAGTTTCTGAATCATGTCAAAGTGAGCGATAAGGACAACTCCTTTTGTTTCTATTTTATTATTGTGTGTCTATTAGAGAGAGAAGTTGTCACAATGTTTAATATGGAGTTCTCAGTCACAGAAATTAGAATATGGTATGAAGAAGAGATCTTGTATTTATATTGCAGTTGCAATTCCATTTTCGATTATGTTGCACTTATTATATTGTAATATTAGCGAGTGTTATTTCTATCATTACAGGTATTGTAGTTGTATAATAACGATTTCAGACAATATCTTCGTCACTATATAACTGCCGATATTTTGATAACGGACTTCTATTTAAATTCCTAGAAGACACAACTGGTGGAAAACTTTGAGAGAGAGAAAATGGACCCATGCTGTGTATAGGAGAGGCAACATGGTTGGCTAAGCCCCATTGGGATTAAAGCTGCCTGCATGCCCTTTACATTCAATCATCTCCAATACATTAGCACTTGATATTGTTTCACTGCCAAATCTTCTCTTTAATTTCCCATATAAATACCCTCTATTCCTTAATCTTCCCTCCACCAAATTTCTTCCCAATTTTCTTAGTGCTTCAAAGATTGAGTGACCTAAAACGATTATGGCTATTAAGATATCAAACAAATTGACTCAAAAGGCAGCCATCAAACAGATTCTGAAAAGGTGTTCGAGCTTCAGCAAGAAACAAGGTTACGATGAAGAGGGAAGGCATCCAGATGATGTGCCCAAAGGCCATTTCGTGGTCTATGTAGGAGATAACAGAAGGAGATACGTAGTTCCGATTTCATGGCTGACTCACCCCGAGTTTCAGGGCTTGCTTCAAAGAGCTGAAGAGGAGCTTGGGTTTAACCACGACATGGGGCTTACGATCCCTTGTGAAGAAGTCTTTGAATCACTAACAGCTATGATCAGATGAAAGAAGAAAAGGCTTTTGCTTCATTTGTTTGCAGTCGTGTATTTTACCCTCGTGCATGACATGAGTGGCGTTTTTCCGACTAATTGACATTTTGTATATTGTGCATGTACGTGAGTTTTTTTATACCTGATGTGGCACGTTGTTCCATTTCCACGTGCTCTTGACAGTTTATCCTTGAAATTGATATGCATGTTCAAAGAATCAACTATTTGATAATAAATATTCGCATTCCTACATATAGAATGTTTAAATCAGAAATCTTAAGAGATAATAGCAATCCATTAATCACCGATATTATTTGATTGTTCAGGTTCCACTGATATTATTTCTTTTTTCCAAAAGTCTTACATTCTACATGCTTTTAATTCCACCATCATAACCTTGGTTCCTAAGATCACAAATCCTAGCAAGGTTACTGATTATAGGCCAATATCCTGCTGCTCAGTGGTTTATAAAGCTATCACAAAGATTCTGGTAAAAAGAGTGACCAACTTGCTACTTGATATTATAACTCCCAATAAATCAGCCTTTGTTAAAGGTAGATCCGTAATTGATAATACTCTTCTTGCTCAAGAACTTGTGAAAGGATATGGGAGTAAGTCTACTTCCCCTAGGTGTGCTCTTAAGATTGATCTTCACAAAGCTTTTGATTCTCTCCACTGGGGATTCATATCTTCTATCCTTAAGGCCATTGAGCTGCCTCCTGATTCATTGCTTGGATTGAAGCTTGCTTTACAGAAGCAAGATATTCTATCTCTTTTAATGGCTCATTGATTGGTTATTTCAAAGGTGAAAGAGGCATAAGACAAGGTGACCCGTTATCACCTATCTTATTTGTTCTTGCTATGAACATCCTCTCAAGACTTCTTAATATTACTGTTGCAAGAGGTATCTTTGGGTTTCATCCTAAATGCAAAAAACTTGGTCTCACCCATCTCTCATTTGCTGATGACCTTCTAATTTTCTGTAAAGGAATTTTAGAATTGGTTACGGGTGTAATTATTGTACTTAACACATCCTATGACATGTCTGGGCTTAAGTTTAATTCAGCCAAAAGTGAACTGTTTGTTGCTGGTATTTCTTTAAGAACTCTTGAGACCATTAAACACTCTGTTGGTTTCAATTATGGTCATCTACCAGTGAGGTATCTTGGTGTTCCTTTAGTCACTAGAAAACTCAATGTCAATGATTGCTCAGCCCTTATTGACAAGATTAGATCTAGAATTCATCAATGGTCTGGGAAGCATTTAAGTTATGATGGAAAGCTTGAGCTGGTTAAAACTGTCCTTCTTAACACTGCAAATTTCTGGTGTAGACAGTTTCTTCTTCCACAGGCTGTTATAAATAAGATTAATCAACTGTGCTCTCGGTTCTTATGGAAAGGCTCAGACATTGTAGCTACTGGCGCAAGAGTCAGATGGGACAAGATTTGTTGCACCAAATTCAAAGGTGGGCTTGGATTAAAGGATCTAAAATCTTGGAACAAAACTTCTATGTTGCAACTCATTTGAAACCTCCTTGCTAGTGAAGGTTCCTTATGGATCGCATGGACTTATAGCTATGTCAGACAATCTAAAGACTTTAGAGCAATGACTGAAAGTGCTAATTCTAGTTGGAGCTTTAAACGACTCTTGAAATTAAAAACAGAGGCACTTCAAATTCTTAATGCAAGACCAATGAATACTAAAAGCATTTGGGAGGAGATGCGGGTCAAACGTACCAAGGTTCCATGGCACAAGCTTATTTGGTTTCCTCTTCACATCCCTAAATTCAACATTATTTCTTGGATGGCTATCCTAGATAGACTACTAACTAGAGAGAGGCTCTCTCGAAGGGGAATTACCACTGCAAATTCTTGTGTATTATGCAATGACTCCATTGAATCGAGAAACCACTTATTTGTTGACTATACAATAGCAACCAACTTATGTAAAGCAATTTTAAGTCTCAATCACCTAATCAAGCCTCCTATGTCATGGGATAATATGCTTGCATGGGCTACTACTGCTTGGAAAGGTAAGTCTCTTCTTACTTCCATCATGAATATAGCTTGGTGTGCTTTCATTTACACTATTTGAAAGGAACGAAACAAAAAAAAATCAGGAAGAGCTCGAACGGTTGAAGAGATGTTAAGCTCCATAAAGGAGATTGTTGGTGCTCAGCTTAGAAATAGATACTTTAATAGACTTGATAATGTTAACTCTCTTCTTTGTAACAATTGGAGTATAGGCTAAACATTTTTTTGTTGTAAACAGCTTTTCGTCGACCCTTGATTGGGATGTTTTGTATTGAACTCTTCCTTGAATAATAAAATTTTTATTTATCAAAAAAAAAAATGAACGCTGCGCAAGTGACTGAATTTGAAGGACATCAAATGGATGAAATACTTTTTCGGCAGACGTTATTATCAACTTTCAGTCTCCTTGGCTTTGGATTGAATGGACAGTACAACTACTGCTATTATTGGTTTCTTGATGTGAATGATTAGCAAGTAGTTCAGCTTTTAAAGATCCACAGTTAATCCAATAGCATAAACTTATGATATTAAACATTCAAAATATTTTTTTATTATTTTTATCCTAAATTTTAGTTAACTAATTAAACTCCTATTTTTACTATAACTATTTATTTTTACTTCTTAATATTTCATGAGCCTCCCACGATTTCGTATTACAAAAAAAAAATCAAGGAGTACACTAATTATTTTTTTCAAAAATTTGAGAGTCTCAATTACCGCTAAACATATTTTTTATGTTAATGACACTTTTGTGTGTTATTACTTATAACAATATTTTGTGTATTTTTAAAATTTAATTAATGACTAATATTCATTAACATTATATTTTTATTATAAACTAAAATAAATTTTGTGTTATGAAATTTATTATCAACTTTATTGTTTTATATTTATATAACTCATATGTTAAATTTATGTAATGATTTATAATAATTATAAGGCTTAAGTATAAAATAAGTGCTCAAACTATACCTATTTTCACGAATATGTGTCTACAGTATTTTTCGGCCCATACAGGTGCGTAACGTTAAAAACGTTATCCATTTAGGCATTTGGGCCGTTAACGATGTCAATTTCCCCGTTAAGTGACATGTGTCACAATATGGTGATTTTGAAATTTATTTTTTAAAAAAATATTAAAAATATTGTTATATTTATTAAAAATGACTAATTTCTCGTAAATTATAAAATAGCCCCCAAATCCCCAAAATATCCAAATCCTATCCTTAATCTATTGTCGTCGCCCTTTTCGGCCATGACCACTACCAACGACGTAGTCTCTGCCATCCTCCTAGTCACATGTCATTGTATTTGTTGTCTATTGGTCGTAGGAATCGCGTGGGATTGCGATTTTCAACCTAGGGTTCGAGGGGTATAAAACATTGATTCGTCGTCGATCGATCATGATTTCATTAGGTTTAGATCGTCGGGGGGAGGTGAGGTCGGGTGGAACTTCGTCGACGGGAAATTGTGGTGGCTGGTGTGGGTTTAGGGGTTGAAATGAAGATTTTTAAATTTTGGGTTTATTTCAAAATTTTTGTTTTTATTTTTAAAAAATATAAAATTTTAAAATTATCATATTATGACATGTGTCACTTAACGAGGGAAATTAACTTCGTTGATGGCTCAGGCACCTATGGGTAAGGTTTGTAACGTTCGGCACCTAGATGGGCCGAAAAATATTGTAGGCACCAATTCGTGAAAATAGATATAATTTGGGCACTTATTTTATACTTAAGCCTGATTATAATATAATTTAATTATTTAACAACTATTCTTTTTATTTCTATTTTAAAAATTTAGACATCAAATATATATTTTTAGTATTTTAATTTTGAATTCATGTTTTCATTTATATTAACTAAACATGTTTTCTTATTTTTAAAAAGTTGAAAATGAAAACTATTTTCTAAAAAAAAGAAAATATTTTCTAGAACCAAATAGACCATTAGTTTTCTCTCTTTTGAAAAGCCTAGTTTTCTCTCTTTGGTGTGCTACTCATCTCTTTTCTTTTTTGTCTTTGTTGATCGACGAAGACACCAACTTTAATGTTGGTTGTCGACTACCGGTATTTTTTTATTATCTTTTTCTATTCTTATATCGTATTTTAATTTTTTTTTCATTAAGTCTGCTTGTACGGAACATTTTCATCAGCGTTTATGGCACGTTTTCATCTACCTTTGTGGCACACTTTCATCTTCCTTTGTGGCACACTTTCTTTTGTTTTTTGCAATATTTTTCAGTCGTTTGGTCGTTTTTTATTTTATTTATCTTTTACTAAAGGGTTGATTTGACATCGTCATGACTGATTAAGATGACGTTTATTTGATATCTTGTTGATCTTCCCTGCTTTTGACCCTCGGAGTGGATTTGGATATCTATTTTGCGCTCGTAGATAGCTTTTCACGTCACTCGAGTCTGATTTATGATTTTATTGGTGGTCTTTTAATAGTTTGATTTCCTTTTGTGGTTTGTTTGCTGATGTGATCAGATCTATTTGTATTTATCTTTGTTCGAGCTTTTTTGATTAGATCTTTCCTCGTCGTATGGTCCTTATGGTCTTAAGTTAGTTTTGTTTGGATGATTATAGGAAATTGTGATTTGAGATATTTTTTATTTTAAATAAAATTAATTGTTTCTGTTAAAAAAAGTTTAAAAATCAAATATTTAAATTTAATAAATTGAAAAAAAATATTATCTCGTGTAAAAAATGAGAAGACTAATAATTCTACACCTCTTTAATTAAATGAGACGTCCATTTGATTCGTAAGAAAAAAAGGCATGCACCCAAAAGAGCCTAGATCCCATCTATAAATGTGCTGCTTATTGGATGATGTTACACACTTGCAATTAAAATATTAAAATCGACTGATTTTAAATTATGTATATTTGATTTGGTTAAACTAATTTTGACTCCAATATGGATCGAATTGATAAGTTTAATCAACTAGGTGATCAAATATGCTGCAAAATGAAAAACTAGAAGAATATTGACCTCATAATATGGACTTAACGACAGGATATAAAGTGGAAGATACGAGCTTGCTTCAATTATTTGGTGGTTTAGAACCTTTAAATTTTGGTATTATCTGTTGAATCAGGATGTATATCATTTGATTAAGATGGGGACCTGACCCCTAAAAAACAGTTGAGTATTCACATTTGCTTTAATCTCTGTCCACTTTCCACATGCAATCGGGGTCCATTTGTTTGTTAGCTAGAGAGCAAATTCGTATTCTGTTTTGTCCCTTCAATTTTAGGGCACCTGAACTTGATTACTTGAGCTGCCTTCATAAGTAAGACCCTTTTCTGATTATTGACAGGCAAAGTACTGATTGTCATCCACATTTAAGCTAAGTACTCAGCTACATAGATTCGAGTTGTAAAGTAGACATGCTGATTCAGTCACCTTTAAAGCCAAAAAAGAAATCCCAAACCTAAAACCTTCCTAACTTGTCAAACCAACTTAGAACCCCGTGTTTTTGTATAATTCATTTTACATGACTCTACCTCCTTCAAAGGGTTTCACTCAAATATGAAATGAATGTTAACCATAAATGTACTTTTTCTCTTACAATAGGGAATCAAGAACCATCTCTACTTTGAATGTGCTCTCACAAGAGCAACGACAAAAGATGTTCCAATTGTGTGCTTGGAATCGGGAACCTAGTTGGCCAAGTGCTAAGCTAAAGGGGGAAATCTCATTTCAATCCCTTTATGTTTAACTTGGTCAGCTTGTTTATATCAGATTAGGATGGAAACAAAACCGAGGCTATTTGGGGGTAACAAACTGTAAAGCCTAGCTTAGGAGATAAATCTTGTTGTATAATTTTATATATTTTCTACAATTCAATATCAACATATGATTATGTATAATTGATTCTTTTTAATGGTATAATTCTTAAAAAATAAAAATAAAATATATGCACTAAATTTTTACATTTATAGTGTAGATAAATAAAAATATTTTATATAAGTGTTTATTGAACTAATTTACACTAGTACAAGTAAATGTTGATAAAATATATTTGGACAATTAATTTTTATCATGGTAAATAAGTATTGATAATTTATTTAATAAATAAAGCTTTTCAAAATTATTTTCAAAAAAATTCTCAAACAACGAAAAATGATTTACATAGTATCATCCAAATAAGGAAAATGATTTCTAGAAATTGTTTTTCAGAAAATATAATTCATTTTCAATGAAACAAACGGATCCTTAATAAGAGATATTATTATTGCCTCTTCAAAATTATTTCATTGATTTTTCTTATTACATTATCTTAAAAAAATAAACATCATCTTTGTTGTCATTTTATACACATACTAGAAACAATATAATACTAAAAAAATTATATTATTGTTGCACGAATCGAGCGACCTCAGTAGTAAAGAAATTATTGTTATTCTTTGATGTTATGGATTCGAGCACCAAGGATACAAGGGGTGTGAGCGTTCAATGTCAAATGGTTGAGAGTTATCTTAGAACATATATTACTTTGTACTTGCATCATATTAATAAAAAAACTTATATTATTGTTTGATTAAATAATTATTTTGATTCTTATAATTTTAGTATATTTTGATCTATAATATTTTATTTTAGGCTAAAAATATCCTTAATACTTGATTAAAAAGTCATTTTAACCCTTATATTTTAATTTTGGAGCATTTTGACTTCCAAAGTTTCATTTTAAGATAAAAATGCCTCTATTTTGGAGCATTGACCTTTTGTTTACTAACGATTTCCATCTACGGAGAGAAGACATTTTTACTCTAAATGAAATGTTAGGGACCCAATTGCTCCAAAATAATAATTTAATCAAATATTAGAGATATTTTCTTGTCATCGTGCTATTAGAAATTCCAAAACATCATCTTCCTCTTTGCCTAAAACAAAAATCTATCAAATTCAACATTTACTAAAATGGTAATTTTGAGCTCTATTTTTATAGTATTGGCTCCCATTGTTTCATTTTGGATTAAGAAAAGAGCCCCTGTGGATGAAAATCATTAATTAAGAAATAGTTTTTTTAAGGTTAGCTAAGAAACTTTAATACTTTAAAATAGAGGCTTTTTACCTTGAAACAAAATGTTGGGGGGCCAAAATGCTCCAGAATATAAGAATATGAGTCAAAATGACTATTTAATCAAATGTTAAGGATATTTTTATCTTAAAATAAGACGTTGAGGTCAAATACTCCAAAAAATTATATAATATAAAATGATCATTCCAATAAACATTGAGGGTTAATTTGACATTATACCTACCATAAACGTATCAAAGAGTAATTGGGCTCAAAGTATAGATTTAGTGTTTAGATATTGCTAAGAATCCATTTCCTTTTTCTCTTTATGTTCATCTCTTTCTCAGCCCAATCCCAATCCAAAAGAAACGCTACTCAGAATAATATATTTATTACATTTTCTTCGAAACCCTAAACTGATTTCACTACTCTGTGCCGACGCCGAGAGAGAGAGAGAGAGAGTACTCACAGCAACACAGACCTTTCACTGGAATGGGTCGAGTCATCCGAGCTCAACGTAAGGGTCCGGGTTCCGTCTTCAAAGCCCACACCCACCACCGCAAGGGTCCCGCCCGTTTCCGCAGCCTCGACTTCAGCGAACGAAACGGCTACCTCAAGGGTGTCGTCACCGAAATTCTCCACGACCCAGGACGTGGTGCGCCGTTAGCTCGCGTCTTGTTCCGTCATCCATTTCGTAACAAGAAGCAGAAGGAATTGTTTGTCGCCGCCGAGGGCATGTATACTGGACAGTTCGTGTAATGTGGTAAGAAAGCCACCCTTGTGGTCGGAAATGTGTTGCCTCTTAGATCCATCCCTGAAGGAGCCGTCGTTTGCAACGTCGAACATCTCGTTGGTGATCGTGGGGTTTTCGCTAGAGCTTCTGGTGATTATGCTATTGTTATTTGTCACAACCGTGATAACGATACCACCAGGTATCTAATACCTATTGTTTTATTGATTTTGATTTAATTGTTTAGCTTAGTGGTAAAAGATAATGTTATTCCAAACATTCTCTTTAAAGCATTTGAGTTTGAACGGTTGCGAATATAGAATTCGTTTCTTATAATCAATGCAGACTATCAAAAAACAATAGAATTGAGGAATGCTAAAAAGGGACGACTCTTCGTCAATTACTAATCGATTGAGTGAAAAAGAAGACATTATCCCTTGAGCACATATGTTGTTTCTAGTTAGATGAATTGTGCTAGTTTAGCTTTTATTTGTTCTGGCCTTTTCATTTTAAATTTCATTAGCTAATGATGGGTCATTTTAAAGAGGAACTTCTGGCCTAAGGTGCGTGGTGTGGCTATGAACCCAGTCGAGCATCCCCACGGTGGTGGTAACCATCAACACATCGGTCATGCTAGCACTGTTAGACGCGATGCTCCTCCCGGACAAAAGGTTGGTCTTATTGCTGCTAGAAGGACCGGCAGGCTTCGAGGTCAAGCTGCTGCTACTGCAGCCAAGGCTGATAAGGCTTAGGCTTATGACTTTGTTTTTGTGCTTTATAATTACGTTCAAGAATATTAAGTACATTTCTGTTTCAGAAATTTTGGTTGAATTTTGAGATAATTGTACTGTTTCGAGTTGTGCATATTGAACTAGGGCTGTAAATGAGACGACACAGATCGCGAGCTACTCGAGATCGACGCAATCAAGGCTCTATAAATGTTCGGATCGAATGGACTCGACTCGAGTTCTTAACGAGCCGAAACGAGCTACTCGATATTCGACTCGAAAAGCTCGTGAGCAGCTCGAAAAAATGTTATATTATAATTTTAGATTTTTTAAAATTACATTATAAAAAATTTATTAAAAATACATTATTAATAATTATAAAATTTTAAAAATATATTAAAAAATTCTATAATACAACTACCCTCAATTTTTAATTTTTTTAATTAAGCAACCCAAGTCCAATTGTTACATTGTATATTACTAAAAAAATAAAAGCCCATTTAATTAAAGAGAAAATAACCTCAGTGACCGAAAATTCCTTATAATATACGATTTTAACCAACTTTTTTACGATTTGCCAAAATGACCAATAAAATCGCAACGCGATCTCCATTATCGCAATTCAGTTTCTAGATTCACAACGCGATTTTGACCATCGCATTGCGATTTTCAAAATCTACGTTGCGATTTTATATAATCGCAATGCGAATATGTAAATCGCAACGCGATAACACGTGATCGCAACGCGATTCTGACTATCGCAACGCGATAATACGTGATCGCAACGCGATTCTGACTATCGCAACGAGATTCTGACTATCGCGTTGCGATAATATAAAATCGCAATGCGATTTTCAAAGCGCCATTAGTATCGCAACGCGTATTTTATTTTCAAATTCTAAACACGAATATTTACCCGTAATCGCAACTCTTAACCTAAAATCCTAAATCACAACTCAGTCTCATCTCCATCTCTCACTCTCTACGGCAAAATCTGTCCCCATCTCCGGCGAAATCCGTCTATCTCCATCTCTCAAAGCCACCCTCACAATCATTCACGATCAGAAATGGAAAATCAACCAAATCAACTACCGAAGGTTAGTTTTTTTTAATTATTTTTATTTTGAAATTTTTGCATTATTATTAGGTTTTTCATATTGAAATTAATGATAAGTTTTTTTCGGCTCAATTGACCTTAAGGAATAAAATAAGCATAGTCACTACAATTGCGTCGAAACTTTCACCTGTACAAAGACAATTGTTTAAGGATACTTGCTTTGGGTCATGGCTGAAAGTACAACATCCGGGTGGAGATGCTATGTTGACCCATTTGTGGCTTCAGACCATGACACGTGATCTACCCGAGAGTATAGAACGTGGTAATGAAGAGATATGGTTTCATTTTCCACCGGCGTATACGTGTTTTGGGCGGGAGGAGTTTTGCTTAATCACTGGTCTACGCTTCGGACACGATGATATAGGTCGATACACTAGTCATATTACCCGCCCATCATGGTTATCCCGGGTTTTTCCTGAGCTGTCAATGGAGAAGCCGAATTTATACGTCGACGACTTGACGAGATTATTTAATAAGAAAGATGGTTTTACTCAGATGGATGACGTCGATGTTGTCCGAGTATGCCTTTTAGTACTTTTGCATGCCGTCTTTTTAGGCAGAGAGGGCAGACAACCTATTCCTAAGGACCTAATATTATTGGTAGATGACCTAAATGCATGGAACCTATTTCCGTGGGGTTCGTATCTATGGAAAACTACCTGGAATAAGTTGTCGTCTGCCTTTGATGACCGCAAAAGTTTGGGTGGCGATGGTTCCAAATACACTTTGTCAGGTTTTATTTGGGCCTTTAAGGTAAGAATTTCTATATAATGTTTCCAAAATTATAATTAATTATTTTAACAATTACTAATGTTTGTGTATTATATTGTTTGTAGATTTGGATATTTGAGGCTTTTCCCGACATGCAGACATATGCATTCAAAACTTCAAATGATATTCCTAGGGCTACTTCCTGGAAGAGGAAACGGCGGCTGTTGATTTGGAAAGAGTTACTACGGTATACGACAATAAATGATGTAAGTTAACACAAATACTACCATATATAAACAAGTTATTACTAGTACACGTTTAAATTTATTTGAGCTTTTATATTATTAGAGGGCCAACACTCCATTACAGAGGCTGACACCCACGGAGGCTGAGCTTGCCACTGATTGGTGGCAAGCTAGTAAGCGTTTTTTTATGGCATGGATGATGAGCAGCCTCCACTTCGAGAGCCATCACCTCACCCAGAGCCATCACCTGATCGACCACACTATACACCTCTACAACGAGAGCCATCACATATTCTGTCACATCATCGAGCCTCTTCTCCACCATCACCTCATGATAGGCGACCAGCAAAGATGCCACGACATTTATCTCCCTGTTCTCCACCTCAACGGGATAAGTTAGGGGAGTTACGTGATGAGGTCAACGCCTTGCGTGAGGAGGTCAGTACGTTACGCGATGACAATGGTGAATGGTGTGAGGAGGTATCTACTTTACGTGGTGAGGTAGCGGCTCTACGTGAGATGGTAGCATCGTTGCAGAATGAGGTTCATACTCTACGCAACGAGGTAAGTTTAATATTTTTCATTTAACTTGATTTACTCATAATTTCACTTAGATTAACCATTTCACTTGGATTGCTTAGTAAATTCATTCGGTTGCTGCCAATACTGCTAAACAGTTCTAAAATAACTTAGTATTTGTCTTTGTTTTGTCTTTTGATTGAAGTCAGTTAATTCATATTTGTCTTTTGGATTGCTTAGTATATTCATTCGGTAGTAGTTTATTCTTCAAACTGAAATTTACAACAATATGAAGTTAGTATTTGTCTTTGTCTTTTGGTTGAAGTAATGCAATCCATTCAAGTTTCAATTTGCAGAAGAAGAATAGTTGCAACACGAAAATGATTATCGCAACGCGAATTTGACTATCGCAACGGGATAATCGCAATGCGAAAACGACTATCGCAACGCGGAAATGACTATCACAACGCGGAAGTTACTATCGCAACGGGATAATCGCAATGCGAAAATGACTATCGCAATGCGAATTTAGTTTCGCGTTGCGATTTTCTCGTTGCGATAGTCATTTCGCGTTGCGATTATCTCGTTGCGATAGTCAAATTCGCGTTGCGATAATCATTTTCGTGTTGCGATTTTAAGTTTCGTGTTGAGATTTTAAGTTTCAGAAACTATTCTTCTTCTGCAAATTGAAACTTGAATGGATTGCATTACTTCAACCAAAAGACAAAGACAAATACTAACTTCACAGTGTTGCAAATTTAAGTTTGAAGAATAAACTACTACCCTTTATGTTGTCCTTGAACATGCACTAAACCTATATGTTGTCCTTTTAAATGTTTATATAAGTGCTTACTTCCGGAATGTTATCTGATGCATTTTGTGAACTATGATAGAATAATGACTTGGGTGAATACCGTGCAAGTTTGAAATATATTTGTCTTTGTTTTCACTATTTAATATCATGTCTGTTTATTTACTGATTTTATTTATTAATTTATTTTTAGCGGCCCGATAAGGTGGATGCTTTATATCGGGTTTTTCTTACACGACGGGGTTCACGCATCAGACGGCGTGCACGTGCCATTAAGTCTCCGTTCACCCCAATAGTGCGAAGACTCCGTAAGAAGAAGTCTGACTCACATGTCATCGTTCAAGAGGTCTCTCCTATCGTTCAAGAGGCCCCTATCATCCCTCAAGAGTCCCCTCCCACCGTTCAAGAGGCCCCTGTCATCGTTGAATAGGTCCCTCCCAACATTCTAGAGCCCGATTCACACGGCATATTATATCGAATTATTGAGAAACCCCCTCTCGTGCCAGACATGATGGATGATTGTTGGCTTTCGTATAA